CGGCTCACAGAACAGTGTATCAGCTACAACAATCCCGGTGGCTGGGAAGCACTCCCTGTCCTCAATGCTGCTCTTCTAGAGCCAATATGTAGACAGTGGTGTTATTAATGTTTTATTACTGTGAATCTACTCCAAGTTCAATCGACATGCAAAGGATTTCGAAAATCTCAAGGGATTCTGAAAAATTCATCTAAAGCAAAGTTCAAGAATTAATTCTTAGTATATCTGACAAATTTTCATGATATCTGACAAACTTTCAGCTGATTATTCAGTAAACAAACATATTTTAAGTCTATAAAATGATATGTTTTGTATAAAAACTAAATGAGGTTTCTAAGATTAAAAAGACCTTGAGTTTCAAAATCACTGACGACCTATTTCCCTGACTCGATGGACATTCGTGCGTGACGGACAAAATTACTGTCCATTAAAAATGTATAATCTGGAACCGACAGTGCTCAGGGTGCCGCCGCTGCCCTTTGTGAACACTGCATTCGCCCTCGCCCCGCCCTCGCCCCGCCCTCGCCCCAGGGGCGCCCCAGCAAGGCCACGCCCCCTTCTCCTTCACAGACTTCACGGCCTCTCCCCTCCCAGGGCGTCCGCTTTGTGTCTTCTCCCCACACGCTTCTCCCCGGACGTGCTCCTGTCACCGCAAACAACCTACTCTGGGCGTGGGCCACGCTGTCAGCAACCCCGCACTCCCCGGCCACTGTCCCGGAGCCCTCGGGCTTTCAGGCTCTCTCTTCACCCTGCCTTTCGCCTCACCCGGCTCTGCTTTTCGCCTGCTACTCCCTCAGCCCCTCAGCCACTCCAAGAGCTTCTTGATGAGCCTTTCTAGTTCTGGTCCTATATATATATGTGTGTGTGTGTGTATTTATAAATTTATATATATATTTATATATATAAATATATATATTTATATATATAAATATATATATTTATATATATATATTTCTCCTTCCTCAACATGTTTTTAGAAAGTGAAGTTGCCAGACATCAGAGATTTTACTTTATGCTTGACCTTTAAACGTAGGCGCGAAAGTTAAAAGGAGTTCCCAAAGTCGTCTCACTACAGTATCATCTGAATGTTAAAGGTAAACTCTCAGAAGATAAACAGACGTAGTAAAACCCTAATAAAATAAGTGGACTGCCACTATGAAAGATGTATTCAATTTATAATATGTACAAAACTGGCAGGTTTTATCTGGACATACAATGACATCAACTGAAAAAAAATCACCATCTTAGCCCTGGCTGATGTAGCTCAGTGGATTGAGCACAGGCCTGCAAACCAAAGGGTCACTGGTTTGATTCCCAGTCAGGGCGCAGGCCTAGGTTGTGGGCTGGGTCACCAGTGGGGGATGCATGAGAGGCAACCACACTTTGATGTTTCTCTTTCTCCCTCCCTTCACTTCTCTGTAAAAATGAATAAATGAAATCTTTTAAAAAATCACCATCTTAAAAGGGAAAAAACAAATGCTCTAATTTACTACAACAGTAATTTTATGGCTATAGAGGTTTGCTATCAACATGGCACCACAGAAAGTTCAGGAACCAGAGAAAGAGGGAAAACGCACCTTCACAGCTTCCTAATGGAACTACTGTAATCGGTTGGGATTCCCCTTTTTATTTTCCATGTGCATTTTTTTGCATAGTTTTAAATCATAACTGAAAAGGAATTCAGTTGAAAATTTTAATATGCTTAATTTTCACACTTTTGAACATGTTGATTTGTTCCTATTATTCACTGCTATGAAGTGGTTGGAGATGGCTGGGTTGGGGGAGTGGTGGTGGTGGTGGGCAAGAAAACAAAAACAAAACAAAAAGATAAAGTTGTAAGGAACCTTTTCTAATCTAGTTTCTTTCTTTCGGAGAGATTCCCAGAAATGGGATCAGTGGGCTCAGAGGTATAAGCATTTTTACGACAACTGAAACACCTTGCCAAAAGCTTTTAAGGAAGACTACTACATTCACAGTGCCACCAGCTCGCACATTTATTGTTAAGACTCTTATTAATATAACACATCACAGAAAGGCGCACAAAACAAAAACCCAACGGTCAGGGAAGTACCATAAAGTACCATAAAGTCCGATGTAGCCATCGGACGAGAAAAGGCGCCCCGCCACAACCCGCTGTGTCTGCTCGCATCCGACCCCTCCTCACCACAGTGACACTTCCAAGCGGCCTATCAGAAACCACTTATTTTGGTGAGAGGGGCAGTATTTATAGCAAAACACACTTTAAATCCACATACACTCTAAGTATTGCACAGAAATAATCACTTCTAGTTGGTATCTGAATTAAGTGATACAAGATGTCTACTTGGTTGAATATAAATTCTAAGAAGCACATGTTAAAAAGCAGTTACAACACCCATGTGATTTAGGGTATAATTCAAACGGGCAGAGTAAGTAGAACTAGACCCAGGTCAGGTAAAACAAGTGTGTAACAGCACAAATGAAGACGTCTGGTCTTGATGTGTTGTAAATGTATACTGAGAAGCAGGATTTATTTCTGTGTATGACAATGCTCTTAAATAAATCACCACGGGCTTAAAATATTTTAATGCTAAAGGTTAAATTGTAATAGAAATTTGTGCTCACTCATTATGGGCATTAACATGATTATTAATGCTGACCATATTAAAACAGCTGCCCGTGACGGGGAGGAAGGGAACGGCAGTGAAACAGGGGCACATGGGGATGAGCGAGCACCACACGGAGATGCTCCGGATGAGCCCGCGACGACGCACCTAACCCGAGATGTGCGGTCAGGGCAACCCTCTAGACCTGAGGGTCTGAGGGGTGGGAGGGGGCTTACCAAAAAAAAAAAAAAGAAAGAAAAGAAACAATTACACGTAGCATGTCAAATAAGGATGATGACAAAGCCCGACTTTGAAATTACCAAAGGGAACACAGAAAACTGAGCCACAGAGACGAAGTCTAAATTTAGTGTGGAAAGGGAAAAAAACGAGGAGAGAACCAATTCGCACTTGTTTCACAGGAGAAAGAACTACGGTTACAGTGCCGGTGGAATGAGGAAAACAAAGGCATGGGAGGACGTCTTCAAAAAGGTACATTCCACGAAATAAAAATAATTTTGGAAATAAAACCAAGACCTAGTTAAAATTAACATTCAATAAAATAGGAATGACTGATGGCAGCCTTAAGCAGGCTGGAAAGTAGAAGAGAAAGCAATACGGACAGAGTTGGGGGATAAAAACATATGTGAAAAATGCAAATGAACTATAAAACAGAGGCAAAAGACACTAAATATTTGGAAATACACATCCAAGTGTAACCACCCTAACATACCTGGTAGGGCCTTTATGAACTTTACACATTAATTACTTGTTTTAAAATCCTACAACTAGATCGTATTTGTTTAACTCCATTAAAATAGCAATTAATGCAGTGGTAGATATACCATATTTTGCTGTGTATGATAAGAACTGTCTTGCCCAAATTTTTGAGGGAAAAATAAGGATGTGCATTATACATGGGTAGCACCTAAAATACCTTGTGTCTGTTCTCATGTTTTGTAATTCTTTGTTAAATTTCTTGTACCATAGTATATTAAAAAATAAATGCTAAAATTCCTTTATAATGCAAAAAAAACAAGTATCTAAATATACATAAATAAATAATTGAATTAAAACGACCCTGGATGGTGTGGCTCAGTGGATTGAGTGCTGGCCTGTGAACCAAAGGGTCGCCAGTTCGATTCCCAGTCAAGGCACATGCCTGGGTTGCGGGCCAGGTCCCCAGTAGGGGGTGCATGAGAGGCAACCACTCATTGATGTTTCCCTCTCTTTCTCCTTCCCTTCCCTTCTCTCTAAAAATACATACATAACATCTTTTAGAAAATAAAATGAAATGAAAAACTAAAATGAAAGATTTTTTTCCGAGAAAGTTTGGGCCAAAAACATGGGTGCGCATTATACACAGGACTGCATTACACACAGGAAAATACGGTCATTCTGCACTGATTCCTACATATAGGTCACTATATGTTCTGTAATTTGCCTTACTCATCATGCATATTTATTTCTTTCTCATCATTTTAAATTAAGTTACTCAATCATCTCCGCAGCCTGTCACGTTTTTGTGCAACGAATGCGGCGGTGCTGTCAGAACCATCCCCATGACAGATCTGTTTCCCGACGTCTCCAGGGACGCGCGGCAGAGTTTAAAAGCAGAGAGGGAGCACCTGCTGTGACCCTCGGGTAACTATGATGATATCAGAGTAAGAGACCTGGGTGATCAGTATGATGATAATCCAAAGGGATACACTTATTCTTACAACTCTCTGACACGTGTGCCACGTTTTTGGTCGTTGTGAGACATTATAACCTGCCTTTACCAGCACCCAGGGTGGGGCAGGCATCTTGGTGACTGGGTGTAAAATGCTGGTCATCTTGGGAGGGGTCCCAGGTAAGAGAACCCGCACGGCCACAACCAGGACGAAAGGTGAACTTCTGCACACGGCGCCCGAGACGGCCCTCCAGAGGCCGACCTCTCAGCTCTCTGTGTGTCTCAGAAGTGAGCCCGCCATTCGCACTGCAATCCCTCTGAAAACATTCTGCGCTACTGTAAGGTGTAGCAGGAGTCTGTTAGTCTAATTTTGGCAAGAACAGCTGACACAGAAAGCTTCTCCTTCATAGCTCTGATGTCAAAATGGTACCAAGGCAATTTAGTCTTTAGAAAAGAATCGTGTCTGCTATGAAGGAGGTGCTTGATAATATGTATTGAATAGATGAGCAACTGATTTTAAGGCCAAGGTGAAAGGAGTAACACAGGGGAGTTATGAAAAAAAAATGTTAAATCTTAGTAAAAGTACCCTGCAGAAGGAAATTCAGCCTACAAAGGGAAATGTCTACTTCAGTCACACATCCCCATTTTCCCTCCGGTCTGAGAGAAGGCCGTGTGTCAGGGACAGTGTTCCCTTCACCTCAGACGGGACAGACGCCCACGAAGTGAAACGGCGGGAAGTCACTCACCAACTGGGCTGCTTCCAGCTCCATTTGGCACCGTGAGGTCTGCAGCGCTCAGCATCCCACCTGACAGCCACACAGAGAGAGAGGGGAGAGGGCAGGTTGAGTATGAGCCGGCTCTCCTCACCTGAATGACTGAGAACAAAGTAAGCGGAGGTAACCCTCACTCCATTCCCCAAACCACAAAAACTAAAGCCAGCCCAGTCTGAACATGCAGTAACGTGTAATAGAAGCAGGTTAAATCACCAGCCACCGTCACCTGAAGGGTAAGTCGTAAGTAAGGATATGAAACAATTACAGTAAGACAGATAAAGTAATAGAATAATTAATAGATTATAACACAAGAATAAACTCTGTGTCTCACACACTTGCGACTGTGAACCTCCCTGTGCCCACGCCTGCAGGCGGGCTCAGCTCTAAGTCGGATGCGCCTGCCTCCTGTGCATCAGCACCAGAGTATGGACCGATACGAGAGCAGTGCTAATGCAGCACCACTCAACCCAGGACGGCGCGCAGAGTGATGCAGTGAATGCACCGCGAAGTTCTGCTGAGTCGGTAAACAAACTCAGGCAGGGAGAGATGCACGAGACACTAACTCCAGTCAGTTAGGTCTGGTCCTGTATTTTAATGAGTGGTCCACCCTCAGCCTGAAATCTTTTCTTGTGATGTCCTAGTTCACGTCCTGCCTGTCAAAGCGTGTCTTTCCTAAGACAAGGAAAGCTCATGGATGGCATGTTGTCTGTACGGCTCCACAGCCCTGACATAGTGCTAGAGCCACAGCAAACTGTCACAAAAAGTACTCGCAGAGAGAGCCAATTGTGTAGGACTGGCTCCTGCTTATTAGAACACTGAAATCAGGACCAGCAGAAGTAGGCACTGCTCGTGTCAGCAATTCGGTTTTCCACCCCTTCTGTCCAAGAGCTGGTGGAGCAGACACCCCCACGTACCTGCACTGCCGGTGCTCGGTGGTCTCTGAGGGGCGCCAGGGGACACGTTTCTGTGCAGCGTGGCCTGAGGCGGAGAGAGCATGCTTGAGTCTGCTAACGCGGAGCTGGCCGCCAAAGACGGGGACACGAGGGAGCTCCCTGGGTTCGTGTAGGACAGAGCACTGGGGCTGCTCACAGGGACTGTGACGGACATCGAGAAGTTCTGAGGTGGCAAGCCGGGCTGGAAGGAAGGAACAAGGAAGAGAAAGCTGTTAGTTCTCATTTCATCATTACTAAATGAGTTCAATAACACATGAACTTGAACTTGACAAGGTAACTCCAGTTATTAAATGTGGAGGATGGAGACAGGTTCTCACTAATCGACTTGCAAATTTAAGCTATTTTCTTTATAATTACATTTAAACATGAGTATGTTCAACATGAACCTTTTCCATTTCAATCTTTTACATCCTAATACATATACACTAAAATAATGTATGTAGTACATGTTTCAAACATTCATAGAGATGAAAATTAGATGTCAGAACCTGATATTAAAGTACTGTTGTCAAATTAAGACGTGAAATATTTCATGTTACCAAGAAAGCATAAATTAGTACTTTAATGAAACCTAGTTTAATACCATTATATTCCTATTGGGAGATTCCAATTATAATAAAAAGGGGAAGTGTATACAAATATTATAAACTTAGTGCATAAAATCTTGGACATTATAAATAAGACCTGGTATGATTTAAATGACTGACATTGTTAATGGACAAAATTAAAAAGATATAATAATAATAATCAAGTTATATATGTAGCGCAATGCAATCTGAATGTCATGAAAGTGAAAAGAATTAACAAAATTAACTGCTGCAAGCTCTCTTTAAATTGTGATTAAATTACAATTATTATCGGTGCTATCTTCCTTCCCTCCAAAATATTCCACACCCCTTTTAAGATATCTGTTTCCTCATTCATTCTTCCATAGACCATTTACAATGTACTTGTTCACCAAGATAAATAACAGTCTCCTATATAATTTAAAATGAGAGAAAACTTCCCTCTTCCTACTTTTTCAAACTCCTTTGCAAAGTAAGGTAACACTGCTAATTCAAAGTTGGAAGAATACAAAATAGTTTATGTACTCTATTCAATAGTTTACTTCAGGTAGAAAGTCAATATTCATTAACAGATAAAACAAAGGACATAAGATAGAGTTTTCAAAGGTAAGGCACTTATTTACCAATACTTTTGCATCTTAATATTAATTGCACATTCACCAACATCCATATCAGGTCAGAAAGGATTTTACTTTTTGGTTGGCTATTGTTTTTGTTGTTTTGTTTTTTTAGGAACGATGGTAGTGTTAGCACAAAAATAGCTCCTTAAGTCTATTTTTCATGAGTGGCTTGTATAGTACAGGACGACCCTGAAGAAGTCACCCATGATGCCTACGTCAGGGCACAGCGCTCCAACACTGACATAAATGCCAGCATCAGAACCAGGCTGCTCCAGGAGGCCTGCTGCACACACTGCCTTTGAAAACCAGATTGAGAACAGCTGCCTTAAGCGGCTCTTGCCAATGGAGCTTCCAGCGGGAGCTCTTTGGAGAGCTCTCAAAGGCGCAGGAGCTCAAAGAAATACTGGTCAGACATACGAGCTTGGAAGATTTTAAACCAACTCTTTGTTTTGCAACCAGTTTAAGAATGCTGTTTCCTTAAATCAAAATAGAACCAAGGCTCTCCTCCTCCATACCTACAGGATTAAAAAAAAGCAAGGGAGTTTGGAGGCATGGCTGCCAAGTGGTGTGAGGACATTTATAAAGAGCCAAAGAGTAAGCTACTATGACAAAAGAGAATTAAAAACCATCTTGAAACACCAAATTTTGTAGCACATCCAACCATTTTATACTCTATAGTCTCAAGAGCTACTTAAAGTACGTGCGATGTTTTTTTAAAGTCATGGAAGGGAGAGGGAAGTTGTACGCACCCTACAGTTAAAACATTGAAATCCAGAGCTGGATGAGACCTTAAAGAGTACGGGAGGCGGCTCCCTCACTGTACGGATAAGGGCCCGGGGTCCAGGATGTCTCGGGCGCCTACCCACAGGTACAGGTGGCGGTAAGCGGCAGAGCCTGGATCAGGTGTGCCTCTTCACTTGTGTTTAAAGGACTGCACGTGTACTGTAAGGGTTCAGCAACTCTAAAGTTCTACAAAACCCTAACAACGCTGCTTCCCCCTTCCACTGATTGCCGCCGTCACCCACGGTGAAAACACAGATGTGTGGCCAATCTCTTCATGCACGAGTTAAAAGCACAAACCATACTTTAGTACTCACTGCGATTTTATGATTCCGCATCATATTATCAAACTCCTCATTAATTTTTTTATACTTCTCTTCTGTGTGCGGAGTTAGCACATAGGAAGTGTCAGGGTCTGGGCTGTCGCACCCTCTGTGCTCCTTCTTGTTGAGAGCCTAAATGACGAAGTCAACAGAAAGGATCAACACGTAAAAAGGAGCGGTAAAGCGAAAGTACTTACAGGGCCTCGTTTGAAAATAAAATCACTATCTTCATTTAGTTTGCTGAGTCTGTCCTCCGAGAGCGGACTGTGCTCAAAGTAATCGTCAGCATCGGGGCTGTCACACCCGTTAAGGCCTTTCTTTCTTAACGTCTGAAATACAATTGGAAAATTCACACACATGATACTCACTTGCCACGGGTTTCTTTGTAAAATGTATTAAGAGAGCACAGACTGAATGGAGTTATAAAAAGGGCCACTGAAATGATCGCAAATGCACTCTAATGCTTCAGTAAAGGAAGTCTTGGATGATGCCCCCGTCGTACATTAAGAGCAGAATATTTATTTGTTCGGATGTTTTCCTTCCATACTTTCAAGAGAATACTAATAAATTACTCACTGCTCTGACAGTTACAACACAATCTAGTTAAAGCCTTGTCAACATATCTGCCAGGACCAATGAGTGTGAGAACTGAAACAGAAATGGATCAAAACGATGCTTTGAGAAGTTATGATGGTGCCTTTAGAAAATGAGCAGCTCAGCAACTTCCTCTACTGACACCCCACTCTGCTCGAAAGTTATCCTAGCGCCCAGGGAAAATCAGCACAATATCCCAATGATTTCATTTTTAATTTGTTCTGAAATACTATCATTTTCCTATATAATTTTGAAGAATAAAAACTCAAGTTAACTGAGAATGCTTATTTTATGCCTTTGTTTCTTGAAAGTAGAAAGCAAACACACTACACATTAATATTTGAGAATTTTTCTTAGTTCCCCTGAAGTGAAATTATTTTCAAATTTTACAGCTATGTCAGCCTCTCAGGTCGCTTTGGTACGTGCTAGGGATGCCCCACAACGCCTGACCCCCCCCCCACAGCCCAAGCACTGACCGTGGGCAGAGTGAACACACCTGTTTCCCACACGGCAGCCAGCCCCGCACCCTAAGTGCTGAGGGTCTAACCGACACAGGGCCTTTCCTGCGGACTTAGCCATAAAAGGTGCCGTCGTGGAGAACTAAAGGCTGAGGACACGCGTCCTCCCCCATTCGCGGCAGCGCGCTCCGCCTGCCAAAGCTCTGCCAGTCGCTATCTGCAGGGAGGATGTTAACACTCAGAACACTGGTGACCAGTGAACTCTCCTAACCTGCAGAGCCCCAGGCACAGAACAAATATAGCAGGTGCCTACACACAGACTCGGACATGCAGTTGTTGATTTATTTGTGCCTGTGATCTCCAGACGTTTCCCCCCGTATCCACCTATTTCAGACCAGGAAATTCAGAGCCGCACACTCGCAGTAATAGCGATCACTGAGCATGCATATCTTTGGATGTTTGTTCAGCTGCAGAAGAGAAAGGGCAGGGCTTGTGTTTCACAATGACACTCAATTATCCTAGGACAGCAGGGTTACCCCAACCTGCACTCTGGAGGAAGGACAGCCTTCTTCGTCCCCCGCCCTGCAAGCCTTCACTTCAGAGGGGTTCCCGTCACTGCGAGGGAAGCTGGGAGTCTGTATCAGCTCTGCAGATAACAGGCTAATGCACCTCTGCTGGAAAGCCAACGTGTGTCTTATCACCAGAGCATGAAGAGTTGTTTTGAGGACCCGACTACCATAAAAAGGCCTCTTCTGCCTTCTTTATCATCACCACATAGCAAAACAGTGCAGCCTTCTCCTGGGCCACTGGCACTCACGAGAGGAATGCTGTCACCTATTAGCAAGGCCAGGCGAGGCATACAAGAAACAGGCTGGCCTCGGGCTTTTCCGCCTGCCTCACGTGAGCCGCCACGAAAACACTTGCTCAGTGAAGAAGACAGTCCCAGAAGTCGCCGCACTACGAGGAATCTGCTCTTAAGTGGGGGAAAAAACCATCCAGAGTACTTACACTGCGTACTCGCCATGGCTATTTCTGTGAGGCTAACGCTCCCTGTTCTGAAAGAAACAAGACTTTGAAAGGGCTCCGTTCTTGTAAACAGGGCTGACAGTTTGCAGTGCCGCCAAGGCAAACTTAAAGGCAAAAACGCAATTGTGCCAAATAATTCGGAATTTCAGGGGCACAGACCATTCAAGTTGATTTCTCCTAGTTGCGTTCCTTAAATAACTCCATTCCGAAACACACACGCCAGAGGGTCTGCTGTGATGCGCAGCTGAGCTACTCCTCACTTCAGGCTGACTGGATACGACCCATGTCCTTCATGACGACACTCCAAAATGCCCTTCTGCCGAGGCATGGAAGGACCATAGTTGAGGCTTTTTCTGCACTGGGGAATTATGGGCTGATCACAAAGCTGGTTAACTCAGGGAGGGACCCTGCCAACCAGCTGTGGGGACAGAGGACACTGGGCAGACCCCTGGTGCCTCACCTTCAGGAAGCCAGGGATTCCTTCCAGCCTTGGGTAACATCTGCCCACATTCTTCCAAGAAATTCCCCTTTAGCCTGAGCTACTTAAAATAGATTCCTAGACCTCATAGTCAAAGAAACAGTGAACAAAACTGCCATAACCCTTTAGGTAGGTCCCATAACCAGTCTGGCTAGTGCCTCCACAGCCCAGAGTCCAGAAAGCATCCCAAAGCGGAGAGCAAGGTGACTGTGGGTTATCTGCTGCTTGGGGCCTGAGGAAATGGGTTCACAGTGGCACCTACACTAGTAAAGACCTTTAACGTCATGTGTTCTGTTGTTTCACTTACAAAGTATTAGCAGCCTTGTCTTTCAAGTCAAGAAAACACATATAGAATTCTGGGTATACATTACTGCTTGACAGGCCCTGTGTGTTTGCCTCGCACTTTCCAGTTGATATTACCAAATCTGCTGGTGAAACTGGATATGGAAAGAATGAGGGAGGCGTGGGAAGGCGATAGGGAAAAGGAACTTGAGGAGGCAAGAACAATGATGTTTAGACTTTATAAATATATCCAGGTTTTCTGTTACACAATATACTTAAGAAACATATTTCAAAAATGAATTATAAATCAGAGGCAGTTAACTGAATAGATTTCTTTTGGCTTATATTCTCTCATCAGCATGAAATAAGATAATTTTCTTATGCTCTGATGTAAGAACTAATCAGCAAAAAATAATGCATTTAAAATTTTAGATTCTTATTCTACATTAAAGTTATATATACATACGTATATATATATACACACACACACATATACACATGTAATCTTTAATGTTTGTGTACAGAGTAAAGAAACCTAGTATTCAGGATATTTTTCATCAGAAATGTGTTTAAATACTTAAAACAACGAAGATATAATATCTGACATAAGGGCTGATTAAAACCCCAAGGGCTGGCAATGTCAGGACTCTCCGGGCACACTGCTGACTTTCGGATTCGGGGGCTTCCACTGCCTGAGTGTTAACCGAGGCCACGCCTGACCAGACTGTATTTCACCAGCTTGCCTACAAGAACTGCAGTGCTCTTTAATGTATGTTCAACTCCATAATGACAACTGCAAATGCCATTCCCAGCTAACAGAATTGCGCGCTTAGAAGTAAAGCTACGGAACTGAAAGCACTCAGCAAGCTCTCGGGCACGGTTCTCAGTGCACAGGGACACATCAACTAAACCAGCCCACGAGATCACCACCCATCACCAGATCTCATCTCCGTGAGGCGGCTGAGCAGCGAGCTGATGAGTACTTGTAAAATAAAGGAATAATGTCTTCAGTTCAAAGAACTTAGACTATTAGGGCTTTTTTAATGACAAAAATTCTCCTTTCCCCCATTTTAATCATTGTTTCCAATTTTGAAAGATAGTTCTTACACTTCCTAGACATGTTGAAAATACATAAAAACATTTAATTTTTTTAACTGTGAAACACACATAAGAAAAAGTACATCAAAATTTATATAAAATTCAATGATTAGGAAATGAACAGCAGTGATTCTGATCAAGTCAAAAAACCGACCAGAGCCAGACCCCTCTGTATCTGCCTCCATCACACAACCCTGCACGGCCAGTGCTACTGTGATGACCACCTCCTGCATTTTCCTGATAGGTCTGCCGCAGGCACACAGGTCCCTACAAATATAATTTAACTTTGCTTACTTTTAGCAACCTTGTGAATGAAACGCATACGCTACACTACTTTGTCTAGCCTCTTTATATGCACCGTGCATTCTGTCTCGCCTCCTTCCTTTATGAGAGTTGTCCACAGGACTGCATGCAGTTACACTGTTCATCTCCACTGAATGCTGTGTTAGGGGGCGGTGGGGGCAGTCCATACATTCTACTGCAGATAGACTACTGTAGTGCTTCAGGTTTTTAGCTATTATAAAAATGGTACTATGTATATTTTTGCAGATAGTCAACTGTGTATCTTTACACATTTCTCTAGGGTATATTCTTAGGAGTGGAATTGTTAGTTCATAAAATATTAGCTCTGGCTGGTGTGGCTCAGTAGACTGAGTGCCAGCCTACAAACCAGAGGATTGCTGGTTAAGATTCCCAGTCAGGGCACAGGCCTGGGTTGTGGCCAGGTCCCCAGTAGGGGGCGTGCAAGAGACAACCGATAAATGTATCTCACACACATAGGTGTTTCTCTCCCTCTTCTCCCTCCCTTCCCCTTTCTCTAAAAGCAAATAAAATCCTTAAAAAAAATAAATAATGTCAGTCCTCAGTTATACGAGACAATGCCAAACTGTTTTCTAGTAGTTGTATCAATGAGCATTTCTACGTGCAGCGAGGATTTAATTTGCGTTACTCTGATTACTGAGGGAATGAAGCACATGACACATCTACTGGCCATTTGGATTTTCTCTTTGTGAAGTGCCTGTCAAACACTCTGCCAAGTGTTCTACTGAGTTGTTTCTTATTGCTTTATAGTCACTTTATTTGTAATCAACATAAGTCCTTTGCTAATTTTATGCACTGTAAAAAATCTCTTCCCATTCTGTGACTTTTTTAAAGACTTGTCTCTGGATGAAAATGGGTTCTTAATTTTAATGAAG